AGATGTTTGGGTACCAGCCCTGCCAGCCCCGTGGAAGGGGGGGGGGGGTGCGGGGGGAATGGCCGAACAGTCTGCCAGCATGCTTACAGTCAGGCCCTAGAGGATTTTTGGCCTGTCCCATGTCCCTGCCCCATGTTAGTTGCCCGGACAAGGCGGTTTGTGGTGTGGCTATTTCTTCTCCGCTCTACATTGGTTTGAAAGTGTCTCTTTCTCGGCTCTCTAACTTGGGCTGGCCCAGTGCACATCAGACCAGCCGGAACCCAACTCTCACTCCCTTTACTCTCTCCAGGAATGAGAGACGTGATCAGGGGCTGGGAAAACATCACTAACCGAAACAACCTGCACCATCTTCCCCCTCCCCAAGCTGGTGCCTTCCACCAGCCTCCTTTTTTTTAGCTTGTAGGGAACAGAAAAAGAGTAATAAGATTGGCTCATTGGGACTCCCAAGAAATAAGGAGGCTTGGCAGTCACTCCTGTGGGCCATGTGGAAACCCTTGTAAAGAGACAGGTGGGTCCCCGACCACTGCCTTGGAGTAAGATAGGGTCACATGGTCTCGGCCACGCAGAGATGACATTCAAGCTCCCCCCAGGTACGACAGGGAACCCTGTGCATGCCCCCACACGTATCATCACAAGATCACCTTTGGTAGCTAAACGCCCATGGGTGGGCTTCCTCAGAATGGAACTGCTCTGAGCCCCTGCTTCTACCTGGGCTTAGCAGGGAAGGTGGCAGTGCAGTTGGCTCTCTGGCTGGCCTCAAAGCACCTTCCGTTTATAGCGTTGGCTTAGGCCCTACATACGGGCTTCGGGACAAAGGAGATGCTACAATACCAGAAGACTGCCCAGCCCACCTCTCATTCTCACACCAGGGGTGGTTTTCTGCTTTAAAATGTTTTTCAGGGGGCTGGAGTGATGACACAGCGAGTAGGGCGGTTTGCCTTTCACATGGCCAACCCGGGTTTGATTCCCAGCATCCCATGTAGTCCCCTGAACACCGCCAGGAGTAATTCCCGAGTGCAAAGCCAGGAGTGACCCCTGAGCATTGCTGGGTGTGACCCAAAAAGCAAAAAAAAAAAAATTTTTAATTTTAAAAAATAATACAATTTTTTTTTTCAACAAATAACAGAGCTACTAGGCCTGGTAGGTTTGAGAGAGGCTTCCGTGTGTGGTATCTTTAGCAGACAACATTCTCCCAGCTGATCCCAACCGCCTCTGTGCTCTCTGTGTCCACCTCCTTGTGTCACAGTTCCGACCCTTCTTACGGTTGCTCGCTTTCTGTCTCTTCCTCTTGGGTGTGTTACAGGTGCCGCTTTTTGTAATATCTGCCCGGGGGTGTTTCAGAATACACTCTCCCTCTTTGGAGCCTATAAGTCAGTAATCTCTCTTCTTTGTCCTCCCCCTCTGTATTGCCTAAACATTTCTATTCACAAATATTTCTATTCATCTTTTTTTAATATATTTTATTTTTATAAAGTTGTTCACAATAGTTCATCACAGATAATATTCAAACACCAATCCCACCACCATAAGAGAAAAGTGTTACATCAGTGGGCTAGAGAATGAGAGGTCATGCGCTCCAGAATGTTCTGTGTTGCTCTCTTCTGGGAGCTTTATTTCATAGTCTCTGGAACTTGGCCATTGATGAGGTTGTATGGCGCCAGGTGCAGTTTGTGGGTGTGACTGCCAAACTACTGGAAAACTGGGGATCTGGGGGGAGGAGGCCCAGTCTTATTCTGAGCGAGCTTGGAAATCTCAGTCTATTTATCTTTGACCTCAAAGATTGATCTTGGACCTCCTAAGCCTAGGACTTCTCCTAGGAAGCTTCCATCCCAGACTCACCAACCCAAACAACCTGCACCATCTTCCCCCTTCCCAAGCTGGTGCCTTCCACCAGCTTCCCTGTTCCTTCCCACAGCAACCATCCTCCTGCCTGCATGTGGAGGACCCGCCATCCCCGGTGTCCGCCATCTTACACTTTCTCCCGGTGTCTTTGTGTGACTCTGTTCCTTGTGTTCTCCTCTGCTTGACTTTCTGCCTGCCTCTTCCATAGCCCTCCTACCCCCATCCTCTCCGCTCTTGCATCTGCTATGCCAAGACCATCAGAGCCACCCTACTAAATGCTTTGACATCTGTTGGACTCCCAAGTGTTTCTCAGTGCCTAACAGGAAGTATCTCTGCATTCTCTTTAGTGGTCTTGTTTGTTTGCTTTTTTCCATACCCAGCTGTGCTCAGGACTTATTTCTGGCGCTGTGCTCAGAGATCCCTTTTGGTGGGCTCTGGGGACCATACATAATGCCAGGGATCAAACCCAGGTCAGCTGCATGCAAGGGAAGCGTCTTTCCTACTTCTCTGACCCTCCACACTCTCTTTGGACCCTCCTTACCCTCCTTCCTTTGACCATCCTGAGAACACGTGCTCTTCTGTCTCCCCGGGCCATTCTCCATGCATCCAGGACTTGTGGCCACCTCTGTACCCTGCCCTGCTTTCTTTCCATCACATCCCAACTGCCGCACCTCTAGGTGTACCGTTGACCCTTGAAACACGCTGAGCTATGGGCACCGAGTCTCCGCAGTCATGGCCCCAAATCTTTAGCTTCTTACCCCCAAAATTTAACTGCAGCTTCTTGTTGACAGGAAGCCTTACCTAAAACGCCAACAGCCAGTTCATGGGGATTTCGTGGGTGGCTTGATTACAGGCTATTTGTCTCCTCTTAAGTCAGCTAGAGAATAAATGGGACTCTGGAGGCACACTGGCAGAAACGGCACTGTAATGCCCCGCCACCATAAATTGAGGTCATCCCAAGACCGTCTGCCCCCAAGAGGACCCAGGGAATCCCACCCAAGAGTGCTCTGTCCATAGTGGTGGGTCATCTGCGGAGCCCTCCCTGTCCACTCCAGTGCTGAGCACTTTCCCACATTCCATAAGCTCTTGCTCTTTCCAACACCTCGCTTCTCTGCCAGAGGACGCAGAAAGCAGGGGCAAGGAGAAAATCCTTATCCTTTTGGTTCTCTTGTTCCTGAATTTGTACTGTGTTATGTATTGTTACTTGATTTTTTTTTTAAAAAAAAAAAAAGATAGCATGATTTTAGCCAATCACGATCCTGATGAATCGTGCTTTAATATTCTGTGGCCCTGCGTGGTGCTTCTCCCATTGCACTTGACCCAGGCAGGCAAGCCCCTGGAGCTCTGTTCTAGTTTTAGGAGGATCCCTGAGAACCTCTTCCTGATCATTTCAAAGCTGAAGGGGCCAGCATTATGTTGGTGTTCTACAAGGCTTACACTGGGCCAGGAAGATGGCTCATCGGGCTGGAGCATGTGGGAGCCCTGGGTTTTCTCACCGGTCTCCCATAGTTCCTGAGCACTGTCATGAGTAGTGCCTGCTCCCCAAACAAACAAAATGTCAGTGAGCCTCTGCCCTGGCTCCTTATGGCATCTTCATTTAAGAAGGAAGACTTATTCTTGTCTATAGAGAAGGAACCAGTATGACAACAATAATGCTCGGAAATGGTCATTTTGGACAGGAACTGAGTGTTGAAAGTAGGTAAAGAGATATACCTAATAACCTTTCAGTATCTGGCGGGGAAGGGGAGGTGGGGAGAGAGAGAGACTCGGCTTGGCGGGGTATTGGAGGAAAGCAAGCTGTGAACATCGGTGTTGGGAAATGTGCACTGGTGGAGGGATGGGCGTTGAAACATTGTATGGCTAAAACCCAATCATGAACAACTTTGGGGTTTTTTTGTTTTTATTTAATTAATTTTATTGAATCACCATGAGATAGTTATAAGCTTTCATGTTTGGGTTACAATCACACAATGATCAAACACCCATTCCTCCACCAGTGCACATTCCCCACCACCAATATTCCCGGTTATACCCCCCCCCTTCCCCACCCTCCCCCTGCCTCCATGGCAGACATGATTCCCCATAATCTCTCTCTACTTTTGGGCATTATGGTTTGCAATACAGACCCTGAGAGGTTATCATGTTTGGTCCTTAATCTACTTTCTGCACACATCTCCCATCCCGACCGATTCCTCCAGCCATCTTTTTCTTAGTGATCCCTTCTCTATTCCAGCTGCCTTCTCCCCTTTGCTCATGAGGCAGGCTTCCAGCTATGGAGCAATCTAATCATGAACAACTTTTTATAATTGTGTATCTCACTTAAAAAGGAAAAAAAGCAAAACTTGTGCTGCTAATAAACACTGCAACATTTTTTATTTTAAAAAAAATATTCCTGGGACTGGAGCAATAGCACAGCAAGTAGAGCGTTGGCCTTGCATGTACCCAACCTGGGTTTGAGTCCCAGCATACCATATGGTCCCCTGAGCACTGCCAGGAGTAATTTTTGAATGCATGAGCCAGAAGTAACCCCTGTGCATCACCGGGTGTGACCTAAAAAGGAAAAAAATTATTCCTGTCTGCCTTGCCCTTCTCTCACCCACAAAAGTGATACCTGAATACAACAGCGGCACTATTTCTGCACTCTGGGGAGTAGACATCCTCTGTGTTGCCCCACCCAGCTACCTAAAACATGAATATCTAGCTTGAACAGAAAATTTAGGAGAGACCCTTATATTCTCCAAAGGAAAGATTGCCTTCCTAAGCTTCTGGGGTTTAACCCTTGCATCCCACCACCTGCCCCCACTGCTTTGGTATGAGCTTCCCCAAGAGCAATGTTCCTCCACAGTTCCCCAGACAGTGAGTGGGGGCATGTCCCCAGTTCTCCCCAGTCCCGGCCATACTCGTCCTCAGAGGCTCATCTTGATACGGAGAGGAGTGTGTTCTTCTGACACATGATTAAGCGGTGATGTTCATTCAAGGTGGCACGTGATGAGGCCAGGAAGCATCTAGCCAGCCTGATATGAGATTGAAATATATCTTAAAGAGGCAATGCCAAGACTAAGCCATACTGCTACTTGGAGGTCCGGGGCGGCGGGTGGGGGGGGGTGTCCCCTTCCTTCCTTTCTTCTTAAAAACCCATGTTTCTGTTTGTCTTGCAGGGCATGATTGAAAAGGGAGGATAAAATCATCTGTTTGAAGAAGCCAAAGTCCTGCATCATTGATTCCAGTGGTGGAACCTTTTTGTCCCTCTAATAAGAAAGTAACCCTTTAAACAGAAGACTATTGAAGAGAAATGCTGGAGAGTAGAATCCGCAGAAACATAACAAAATTCGGCCCGCACAATCTGCACAGCCAAGACTTAGACCAAGAATCAGCCACGAAGAGGCAGAGGGGGCCCTTGGATCCAAAAGTAAATTCACATGCCCACAGTGGACCCCACTGAGTGACCCCCATTTCTGACCATGGAAAGTGGGGCAGCCCTCCCCACCTTTTCTCCTCTCTCCTCAACTCTCCCCTGTATCCATCCCCCTCACTTGGTGATCTTTTCACTTTATAACCAAGTAGGGGGGACAAAGGGGTGGAGTTGGGGGACAAATCATTTGGGGTAGGGAGAGGAGAAAAGTGTGAAAAAAGAGTGAAAAGCCTCATTATCAGGGCGATCATGTGGAGTTTAATTTGTCCAAATGTGGCATGTGAATTTCTTCTCCCCCTTAAATGAGATAAGCACTATTCCGTTTTAACTTACAGTGAATCATGTAAGAAGACACCCCTCCCAAAAAAAGCAAGAGAGATCACCTCTTTTATTGGAATAATGTTTATACTTGCAAGTGAAATATGGCAATTTTTTTTAATCAACCTAAAGGTGACCTTGGCTTACACAACAACCTCTCTATCATGAATACTGACCTCTTCACTCACTATCAATAATAAATATATTTTCTGATGAAGACTTGCTTTGTGGCCTGCGGCCTCTTGTATTCCTTCCTGGGCTGTCTTCCCTGGCCCTGCTGGTGAGGATAAAGTTGATTTACGTGGTGGTGGATTTGCATTTGGGCCATACCTTTTCTCTAGAAGATCCCAAAAGCTCTCTGTAAACACTCAGACTGGTTAGGGAGACCTGTAACTTGACCTTCCAGTCTGGAGGGTAAGACTCAGGAAGATCTTTACAAATTGCAGGAAGCTTTTCTTTGTACCAACTTAGGTCATCCTGCCTGGAGCAAGAAGTAGATTAGAACTTCTTGATTAGGCACTTGTAAACCTGTCCTACAATGGGAAAAAAAAAAAACATTTTTTTTTTCCTTTTTAAATCAACCCTGAGAGTTTTTCCTCTTCCCCATTTCATGAAAACTTCCTGATTGTAACTTGCTGTCTTACCAAGATTGGTGTCACGGCGGCGCTGAATTTTGGCAAGTTGGAAATTAGTATTCACACGAAAGCGAAATGGAAGAGTCTTTCTAGGACATAGGAGGAGGAGAAAGTGTCAGTGCTTTGTGAGGCTGTCAAAAATCCCTTTTGTCATGTAGAATTTTTATTTCATTTTTATTTTGTTAACCGAGAGATCTAATTTAGCAAAAAATGATTAAGAATGCAGTCTGGAAGAAGGCATATCTGTGTTCACATTGTGGCTCTGCTTTGTCCCAGCTGTGGGGAGTAAAGCAAGTCCCCTCCCCTACCAAGCCTCCAATTGATTTTTTTTTCAACTGTAAATTGGGGGCACCTGGGAGAAGCTCCCTGCCAGGCTGATGGGGAAGCATCAGTGCTCCCAGCCTGGCACCCATTTCAGGCAGTTCTGTATATGTCATGGGCAAGTTATGTCATCATTCAGTCAACTAATATGGAGTGGGGCACATGGGAATACAACTTAGACACTGTGGGCTGGGAAATGGTCAACCCTTCCCAGTAAATGCCACTGTGGATTTGCCTCGTCACCTAAATTCCCGAACTCTCGGGCACTTGCAGACACATCTGGAAATCTGATATTGAGCTAAGTGACATGGAACCATCCTGCCTTAATCCCAGGGAAGCTCTGTGATCATTGCTTTAGCAACGTTTTGCCCCAGTCTGGGATTGGTGTGGAAGCCACATTTACATGGGGACTGGCTGAGGAGCTAACATTAGCACACCGTTTAGGACGATATCCAGGCCTGTGCCCAGGAGATGGAAGAGGAATTCAGAGATGAAGGTGTCCTTGGGAACTTAGTGTGTGCAGATTAGCTCACTCACAAGTTCCCTCCTATGCCATTTTGTTTTGCCACCTAGAGCCAAGTGCTTGGCACATCCCCATCTGACTGTCTTGTTGCTGGCAGAAAGTGCCATACCGAAGACTCGGGTGTCTAGAGCCACTGAGGCCCTTGAGAACAGGAGAGAGGTGTTGCTTGGTCAGGACATCTCTTTCCTGGCACCTAACCTGCGTTTCTCATTCTCATAAATAAAGGTGCGTGCTGGGAGTGGGTCAGCAGGCAGCACTTGGGGTGAAGGGTGGGGGGTAAAAGGGAAGTGAGGTGCACCCCCCAACCTTTTAAGCACCTTTGGAGATCTCCCTGTTGATGGCATCACAATTCTCTCTAGGTCACTATTCACTTTCAGACCTTAACAGAGCCACGATGACTTACACTGGTGTCCCAGGAATACAAAGCCACTGCACCACCCTCACTGTCAGGAGAGTATCACATCCCTCCACCACCATCTGTGGGTCCCTCTGGGTAACTTGATGGAAAAAAATATTGGGATATAGATGAGGCTCACAGGAGGAATTGGTTGCAGAGTTTCACCATCAAGTAGATACAACTGGAAGCCCAGGGTTTGAGCTCATGAAATCCAGAAGAACTGAGGTCCTTAAAAGCTGATGAGATGTTTTCACACTTAGCAACTTCTAGAAGACAGCTGTGTCGAGCCAACGCAAATTCTTTGAGAATCAAGTAGTAGCCTATTGAAGAAAAACTCCTCAGCGTGCAATCGTGTTTTTGTTTTGTGTTAAAAAAAAAAAAAGCACATTAATCATTGTTAATGGCAAATGTGGGCAGCCAAAAGCAGATGCTGGTGGCCAACTGGTCAACCAATGACATATGACATGCGTTTTGATAGCAGCTTCAGACTGCTTTGTTTCAACTAAACAATTGGCCGAACATCCAGACATTCTCAGCTTCTCTGGCTTAGGACTTGGAAACCTGTGGCCCATAACCTGTAATTTTTCAGTCCACAGGTAGAATGGCTTTTGCCGAAAGCCTTCAAGAGAGTTCTCTCTGACCCCCATTTCAGCAGTAGATGCTGGCTCTTTCCAGGTTTGAGGAAAGCAGTCAAACAATTGAAAGGATAGCGACCTTTATGATGAAAAACAGCTGAACTGAACGGAAAGTTTTACTCTTAAAAATATTTGGGTTCATATCCACGTGTCACTTCCCTCCTGCCCATGCATTTTTATTTATTTTCTGAGTCTCCGCCTATGGTCTGCTGGAGTCTTCTGTATGTGTGTGTAAACTTTCCTCGAGAAAGATGATACAAGGGCATCATCAATAGATAATTTCTGATGATGCCTAGAGCATCAACGCAGTGAGTCCTGGGATTTGCTCTGCTGCTTTTGCTGGTACTTGGAATGAGTCATTTGGAACCATGACCCTGTGGACTTTTTTCCCATCACAAGTGACTTATGTGCCTTTGTACCTCCTTCCTCCCAAATCTTCGCCTAGTTATATATTTAGTACTGAGTAGCTTCTGCTTTTACTTGGAGGGTTTTTTGTTTCATTTTTCTTTTGTTTGGCTTTTGGGTGACACCTGGCAATGCTCAGGGGTTACTCCTTGCTCTGCACTCAGGAATTATTCCTAGTGGCGCTCAAGGAATTACTTGGAGTTCTTCCTTTATAACAAGTAGATTGAACTTAAATTCTCCAAAAGAATAGAAAAAGTAAATCTTTATCTGTGGTACTTTGGTATTTTTCCTATAATCAATGGTCCTTTTTAGATGGGTGGTCTTAGGCAGAATTTCCCATCAGTGCTGGGTAATTCCAGTTCATAGTTGAATTCTAAAGTGTAATGATGGGCCTACTTCCACCTCTTCTCACTGAACCCTTAAAGAAACACCGAATGATGCAGGTTTTGGTCTTTCCTCTTTCCCTCCTTCCCTCAATGCATCTGGATTTGCCTTACAAAGATGGAGAGATGAAAGGAGAAGAGAAGGATTTCACTGACTGCAAGACTTTGAGGGAGTAAGAGAGAAGAGCCTAAGGTGTTGCTATAAACCTTAAATTCTCTAGTCTGCCATTCTCAATCCACTGAAGGGGAAAATCCATTTGACTTTTTCTCTTTTAAATGATCTAGACATCATTTCCCAAAGTGGACAATCCTTCCAGGTAAAAATTGCATCCTTCTAGGGGTTGCAATGGGGGTCCAGGTGCTTTCTGTTTGTTTGTATACAGAAGGTAGATTCCCAGGGGCTAGAGAGGAAGTGTAGTGCGTCAGGCACTTGCCTTGCATGTGTCTGTCCTGGGTTCAATCCCTGGTACCCTGTATGGTCCCCTGAGCCCAGGAGTAATTCCTGAGTGCAGAGAACCAGGAGTGAGCCTTAAGTATAAGTGTATGTAGCCTCCCTGCCTTACACACACACAAATATATATATATATATACTGTATTTTCAGGAGGCACTGATTTTTCTTTTTTTGCAAAAGGGACCAGGAAGAAGGCCAAATAAGTTTGGAACCTCTAATGTAGAACTATATCAATTTTATTATCATCTTCTGCCTGCCCGTGACCCCCAGGGGCAGAAGTCATCAGCAGTTTTTCAGGCTAAGTGAAATTGAAAACTTCAAGTCCTCCCTTAATACAAAGGGATTTGGCCCTGCCCTCCTCTGCCTTGAAGAACCATTAGCATCATTCCCCATCAATCCTTTGTGCCTTGTGGCATGTAGACTTGATAAACGCTGAGAACCAAGCTGATGTGCCCCCTCCTCAGCCTTCCACACCCAGAATCAGAGCCACCTGATGTTCTGGCATGGTCCCTTGTCTAGAAGCTTGGGTCAGAGCTCCAGATAGCGTGTAGATCTTTCAATATCATTACCCTCCAAAGCTTGGGCGGGGGGGGGGGGGGGGAATGACCAATCACTGATTACATTCTCCTATCTCCTACCTCATCTTGGGAAGAAGAGAGTGAAATCTCACATTTGCTGTGCTCTCCTAGTACCTTCAGCCTCAATAATGCTGGCAAGTGGCCAGAGGTAGTATAGGGCATAAGGTGCTTGCTTGCCTGTGGACAACCCCAGTCCAATCCCTGGAACTGCATGTGGTTTCCTGAGATAGGAGGGATATATGAGGATGGAGGGAGTAGGAAGCCCTGAGCACTGGTAACGTTATCCTAGAACAAACATTGCTGGCAGAACCCTTTTTTAAAAGTTGGGTAGCTTCAGGGGAAAAAAGCTAAAGGCATTATACAAATTAAAGGTGCAACGGTCTAAAAAAATAGAGAAAAGACATTTCACCCCTATGTTCCTTGCAGCACCGTCCACAATAGAATAGCCAAAATCTGGAAACAACCCATATCCAAAAATAAAAAAAATGACTGGAAAAGGGAACTGTGTTACCTATACACAATATTACTCCCAAAGTTTGCTACTACATGGAGGGATCTAGAGAGCATCATGCTGAGTGAAGTTGGCAGGAGAGAAATCAACACCGAGTGATCCCTCTCATATGCAGAATATAAAGAAACATAATGGTAGAATAACAACTACCCGGAGATGATGGAAACAAAGAACGTGAGAACTGGTATTCTATAGGAAACATGCCAACTGAGGGTTGGGGGATAAGACAGATGGGGCAGTGTCTATGGTGGAGGGAAGTATTTGACCTGGAGAAGGAGGTAGTGCAAAAGGTGGTGAAGTGTCATGTACGAAACCCTACCAGTAAGAGTACTATAAACCACAGTGCAAAAGCATATATATATATATATATATATATATA